TCGTAGTAGTAGCAGTAGTAGCGGTAGTAATAGTGGCATGTTTAATCGTTGTTTTTCTAATTGTTATCCTCCTCATTCTCCTCATCGTCATCATCATCATCACCATCATCATCATCACCATAATCATCGTCGTCACCACCAGCAACATCGGCAGTAGCAGCAGCAGTAGCAGCAGCAGCGCGTCAAGTCCAAAAATAAGTTTGTTTGTGTTAACGTTTCAATTTGTAAGGAAATAAAAATATGATTAAGAAGATTTGTGGATTAGTAGGAATGAAAAAAAGACATCCCTATATGATCACGTGATACAAACAAACAAATCAAGATAACGACCACTACTTAAACAACGACAACATAAGCAACAATAACTACAACTACTACTAACACTACTACTACTACCACTGAATACTACTACTACCACTGATTGCTACTACTACTACTACCGATTACTACTACAACCACTGATTACTACTAATACTACTATAGAGCAATAGCAACAACAACACAATTTAAAAAATAGTTGGCTTCTTCTCAAAAAGCTATTATTTTTATTTATTTTTTTGTATTTTCAGGAAATCGCCGTATTGAAAAAATATTTCAAATATTACACTTACATGAAAAAAATGTTTTACTTTAAAAAAAAATGATCAATTAGCCAAGCGTTCATATATTTTTCATATGAGCTGCCGTAAATAGTTTATGGCCTGCTCATGAATATGTAATGAGGCCCTCATGAATCTTTAATGTGCTTCTCATGAATAATTAATTGAACCATCTGCATATTTAATGAGGCCTGGCATTAATGAAAAAAAGTGGAGAAAGAAAGAGAGAGCGAGAGAAAGGGAGAGAAAGTGAAAGCTACGAGATGGGCATAAATAACAGATCTAATAGACATAAAAAGATAGAGAGAGAGAGAAAGAGAGAGAGAAAGAAAGAACGTAAAAATGAAAAAAACTGAAAGACAAAAACGAAGTAACGCAAAAAAAATAAAGAACTGAATAAAAAGAGAAAGATAGAAATTGGGAAAGAAGCTGAGAGATGATGCAAACGAGATGACGAAAAATTTCAAAAGATGATAGAAGAAGAGACTGATGGATAAATTAATCTATCTATCTAGATATCTATCTATCTGTAGATAGAGAGATAGATAGATAGAAAGAGAGAAAGAGAGAGAGAGAGAGGAAGATGAAGAAAGAGAGAGAAAGTATCTAATTATGAAATATATTTTCTCCGTTGTTTCACTTGTAGTATATGTCTGTGTGTGTGCGTGCGAGTTCACTGGGGTTTAATTTCATTAAAAAAAAATTTTTGACAAAAATGTCATTTTAAATTATTTCCCACCAAGATAAATTAAAAATTATTTTCTTTTCTAGAAAGACGACGACAATCAGGATAATGGAGAACTTTCAATTAGTTTGTAGCGATCGAATAACTTCGCTTACAAACTGTGTGCGCGTTGCGTGCGTGTGTGCGTGCGTGTGTTTGCGTGTCTGTGTGCGTGTCTGTGTGTGTGTCTATGTGTGTGTGTGTGTGTGTCTCTGTGTGTGTGTGTCTATGTGTGTGTGTCTGTGTGTGTGTCTGTGTGTGTGTGTCTGTGTGTGTGTGTCTGTGTTTTCTCTGTGTGCTTGTTATACTAACTAAACGCGCAAAAAAAGGCATTCAATAGCGACGACGAAACTAAAAATTGGGCGGAGACAAATTTGAAATGATTGACAACTCGGCTAGCGTCACAATGCAGTTTATAATTATAAGGTACGTACATTATTGTATAAGCGGTGCAGAGTATTTGTTAAGGAATTTTGTTGGGAAGTTGTTTGTATTTTATACTAAAAAGTATTTTGTATTTGGGGTGCAGAATGCTCTTTGGGATATTTTTAATAGAAATTTTCGTTTGCTTTAGAATGTGTATCTCACTGTAAAAAGTATTTTGTATGAAATTATTTTCTATTTTTTGTGTTTCATGCCGTAGAACATTTTTAATTCTGTTTTGTTGGGTATTTTTTGTTTTGTGTGGTTGTGTGTTTATGTTTGGTCAATTTCAATAGGGTATCTCGTAACTTCTGATACAGGGTATCTTGTATCTTGTGATACAGGGTATCTTGTGATACACGGTATTTTGTATCTTGTGATACACGGTATTTTGTATCTTGTGATACAGGGTATTTTGTATCTTGTGATACAGGATATTTAGTATCTTGTGACAGAGGGTATTTTGTTATAGCGAGCCATTGTTGTTGTGCTAGGCAGAGCCAAGTACAAATATCCATTCGCATCAAGCCCAATGCTTCATTTATTATGCAAGACGTTTTAATGTATTTATAAGTTTACATTTCTTCTTCCTTCATTCATTTATTCATTCATTCATTAATTCATTCATTAATTCATTCATTCATTCATTCATTTATTTTTTTGGGTTTACTTTCCGTTTTTTATTCTTCATTTTTTTTTTATCTTCCTCTATTTTTATTTCTTAATCTTTGCCGTCAGTCCATCTTAACAAAGCATCCATAACTCGTGCATTTATGAATATTTTTTATTCCCAGCACACAAACTACGGTTTCAACTGCTCAATGAGAAGATGATTATGATGATGACGACGACGACGATGAAATAATGAATTGAAGAATGCGATTGTTAATTAATGAACGAAGCCATCAGATGTATGTATGTATGTATGTATGTATGTATGTATGCATATATGTATGTATGTATGTATGTATGCATGCATGTATGTATGTATATGTGTGTGTGTATGTATGTATGTATATGTGTGTGTGTATGTATGTATGTATGTATGTATGTATGTGCGTATGTATGTATGTATGTGCGTATGTATATGTGTGCGTATGTATGTGTGTGTATGTATGTATGTATGTATGTATGTATGTATGTGTATGTATATATGTATTCGTGTCAGCGTGTACGTAAGTTTTCTGTACAAGTGACAAAACAACAACGACTACGTCACCAATAACAAAGAATAAATAAACTGCAACAAAACAAAAACAATTTGACGTCACAAATCCTGAAAGAGTCTAAACGCTGGCAGTAGCAGCAGCCCAGCAACAACATTTCAACAAGAAGACAACGACAGCAACAACAACGACAACAACATTTGACAGCCGCAACAACAACAGCTGCAGCAGCAACAACAACATCGAATAAACATACATTCGAAACTTTCTACACTGGGAATATTTTTATGATGAAGAGCGTCTAAATAATTGATTGACTACTCATTAATATCTATATTCAAGTACGTTGTCGCAATGTATAAGCGCAAACACACGCGCGGACGTGCGTGTGTGTGAGTGAGTGTGTGTGTGTGTGTGTGTGTGTGAGTGCTTACGTAGCTGAACATCCAGCCTGCATTCTTGTAATACAAGACGGTGAATTTATACCATCCTTTTATGAATCAGCGTACTGAAATATTTATTGCGAGTTCATGGCTCATCAATAAATGCCAAATTTCTTCTTTTAATTATTTCCCACTCGCGAAGACTTCATTGAAATAATGATGGAAGTAATAATAATTTCAACGATGCGGTCGTCAATTTGAAACGTCTGCAGAGTCCCATCGAGGTTTTCTCTGAATGCAAATTGTACTCGATCATTCTGCCGGCTGTTTGGCAAGACCTGAGGCTCAGCTTCCCAAATACAGAAACGTTCTATTGAATACACTGCATTGTCAATAGAAGAACTGTATGATGGGATGTATGCGGTGCAGCTCTTAGCGATGACGTCATTCTTCAAATCTAGCTTTATTTTTTCGCATGTTGGATTAATTATTGCCTAAGATAGCATTTGATTGTTGCTAGGAATAAATGCTTCATTCTGTATAAGAAATGTTCAATAACGAGTGAATGTGAAGCATGCACCAAGACCAAGGCTATCATTAAATTATACGACGCAGCTTTTTAAAAAGGTGACTTACAAACAATAACGAACGAACCAACGAACGCAAAAAACACACAACAAACGATCGTTAATACAAATTAGCGAAGGAACAAGTTAGATGAACGAACGAACGAGCAAGATGAACGAACAAGACGAACGAACGAATAACGCAAACAGTCAGCGTCAACTGGTCATTCCTAAAATTCATAAGTATTCGCAGCTGGATTGACAATCTTTTTCTGTAGAGAGCCTTAATAATGCACGAGGCCGTGAATAAAACATTAGACGAATTACTGTCGAACATTCGTTCAAACTATGTTTTCTACACGCACATACATACACACACACACACACACACACACACACACACACACACACACACACACACACACACGGGTACACATGCAAGCATCGATACACGCACATACATAACGCATCACACACGCGCATTACAACAGACATACCCACACTCACACGCAAACATGTATTTGTTCGTTCAATCGTTCATTCATTCACTCGTTCATACAAAAAACTCTTCTTGGCGAACGATGAATAATACAAGCCAGGAGCAGACGTGCGCTAAGCTAAATAACAACAGCACTTATGAAGGCATCCATAATTTTAACCGCGCAAGCAAGAAGTCTTCACCGTGTACTTGGATGAAATTTTCGTTCTATCTATTCTGAGATGAGAAGGAAAGCATAAAATATGCACAAGCTCTTCAAAACTTCATTATTTAAAATAAAGAGAATAACAACGAATATATTTTTTCAGTTGAAGAAATAATTTAATTTTTTTTCACAAATAAAAACCAACGTGTCTCTACATATATATTTATTCATTTATTCCCTGTCATAAGACTTCAAATATATAGGTGTAGACAACTTTTTTATCTCTTCTTGCTTTTTCGAACTTTTTTTCTTTGAGACAGATGGCAGGATGGTTTGGGGCAGATTGACCTGTACAAATCAATCACTCAATATTAAATATTTAAATATAAAATATTTAAATGTAAAATGAGATTTTTGGCAATTGAACACTAATTGACGGTTTATTTATTAAAGAACTTTTCGACAAAATCAAAACCAAAAACTAACATCAATGAATCAACAGCAAAGAAAACTAACTGGTCTTGGATATGGAGTTTTGTAGTGCAAGGCTGTGGTGTTTAGTTTAAAAGTTAAGAAAATATAATGCAAATTAATTAATTACAAACTAAATTAATTAAATCATCAAATTTTGGTGTATATTTTTCACAAAATCAATTAATTCACAAATTATTAAACATACTAACCAATCTCAATTCTGGCTTCTGCCTCATTTATGTGCTCTTTGATCAATTCCTGGTCAGTTAACTGTAAAAAATAATTACAGTGTAATTAATTACAGTGTAATTAATTAGTGTAATTATTACACTAATAAAAATGCCCAATCACACCAAGACATCAAAAATTTAAGAATATTACAGATAATTAAATATAAAATTACATTTTTGTTTTTTCTGAACAGAGTACGGGCTTCATTTTTAATGTATTGTCTTTCGTATTCTGTCTTTGTTGGGTCCACCGCTTGCCAAGTTTTTGAGAGATTTATTGCTCTACGGTAGAGAGGTAACACTTGCGATCTTAAGCCAGACATTTTCAGTAAATTGTAGACCATGAATTAATTAACAATATTTATTTATTTAAATTTATTATTAATAATATTTAATAAAGAAATTTATTAAGCAGTTAGAATCTAACTGTTAGATAAAATAAAAAATATTTTAAAGTTTTAGTTGGGAAGCTGACTGAATTAATTAAAATTTGAATTAGGTATAGTTAGTTAATAGAAATAAAATTCACATAAAGAAAACATTATTAGTTTCTTATATTTTTATTTTTGGTCATTGTTGGCTTTTATTAGTTCCCAGAAATTAGTACTTCCCTAAAAATTTACACAACTTTCAGGCACCGTGAAAAACAGTGAGCGAAAAATGATGAAAATCAACATTGACGTGAAATTTTTGAATTAACGTCTCTTTTTTGTTTTGCAATCAACGCTTTTTTTATTAAATTTAACAAAGTTATTTAATTAAAAAACAATGCAAATTTTTATTAGTTAAGATTTTATTATTTTCATTAAATTATAAAATTTTTGAACAAAACACAACACCGCATAATTAAATCATGTAACGATCTTGATTTAAACTTGTTTTTAATTTTTAAAGTTTTCAATTGCAAAGTTCAGAAGATGATCGGATGATTTGATGGTCGGTATTCATCTCAGATTTTACATAAATTTCATAATCAATCATTTTTCATCATTTTGTAACCCACAGAAAAGAAATATGATGGCCCCCAGTCCCAAATGTGTCGGCCAGGAATTCGTCAGGCAGTACTACACAATGCTTAACGAAGCTCCGGAATATATGCACAGGTAGGTAAGGTACCGTCAGACGGTTTTACTCATTAATCACGTGATTTGATTAATGCACTATGAAGTAACTTGATATTCATCTTGTCTTATTTTTCCCCCAGGTTCTACAGCCATGATTCGAGCTTGATACATGGGGGTCTTGAAAAGATGGATGAAAGTTATGTTGTGCACGGACAGACAGTTAGTTAAAATTAAAAGTTTATTAAATTTCCTTACTTTTATTACCTGATTTACCTTAAAATTTATTTTAACTTTTATTTCAACATTATTGAATTGAACTTGAAATAGACTAATATTTCTTTTCATCATGACTTTATTATTATTATTATATTAATATTTGTGCATCATGGTTTGACACCTATTTATTATCCTTCATTATAATACAGACCTAACTTTTTATGATTTCCAGAACATTCACAAGAAGATAATGTCACTGAACTTTCGGGATTGTCACGCAAGAATCAGGCAGGTAGATAGCCTCGGAACTGTCGATGATGCCGTTGTCGTTCAGGTGGGCTCATTTTTTTTCTTTATAATATTTTCTAAATTAAAAATGAAATAATAAATGTTAAAACATGATGTGAAATAGATAATAATGTAAAATGGATTTGAATGACTCTAAATGGTCTTGATGATTTGATGATTCTAAATGACATTAAATGATATTACATTACATTATACTACATTACATTAAATGATATCATTAAGGTATCAGGTGAGTTATCAAATAATGGCCAGTTAATGAGGAAATTTATGCAAACATTCATCCTCGTGCCACAATCTCCTAAAAAGTACTATGTTCATAATGACATTTTCAGGTTTGTATGTGTGTTCCTGTCTCTCTCTTTGTGATTATGTGTTTGTACGTGTGTTCTTGTCTCTCTTTGTGAGTATGTGTTTGTATGTGTGTGTAGTCCTGTGTATGCCTTTGTTTAATGAATGATATTAATAATTATTTATTTATTATTATTAATTATTAGTTGTATTTTTGTTGGTTGTAGGTACCAAGATGAGGTTTTCATTGAGGAAGCTCCCACTGTTCAACACATCCAGCAGAGGACTGGTTAGTAAATTAGCTAAATTAATTAAATTAAATTAAATTAAATTAATTGCTTAGTTAAGTCAGTCATAATAATTTTTGTAATATTGTCACGGTCTAATTGATTGTTTCGTTGATAAATGAATAGGAATGATTTGGATGAATGATAATTTGGATGAATTTAAACTATTCACATTACCCATGTTACCCTGCTATATTATAATCTTTGGTCATTCTGAATTTAGAAACCAGCTGCTACCAGACGAGTCCACTGCAGCAACAGTCGCCACTAAATGGACAGAGTAATATTGGGTAATCAGAAAAATATTTGAATAATTAACATTATTTTATCAGTATCAATGTATAGCCATTAACATAATTTATTCACTGATGATAAACTTACTCATCAGCAATTTTCTTGTTACATTTTAGCTGCGGACATCAGCAACTTTTGGTTCAGCAGCAGCAGCAACTACAACATCAGCAACTTCAACAGCAACAACTTCAGCAACTTTCTCCATATCAGCAGCATCTCAACAAAATCCCCTCACAGCCTGTCTTCCAATCTTGCCAACAGGTCGAAATGTTAATGTCGCCACCCATAACGACAGCAGTAACGTCAACGACGACGATGATGTTGCAGCAGCAACAGCAGCCACAGTCTCCACACATGAAATGTCTTTCTTTAGCTAGTAGTGACATTTCAAAGGAGTGTAATTATAATGTTAGATCTCAGACTGAATATGATGGTTGGGATATTTTTTATTTTCCTTCTTTCTTTCTTTCTCTCTCTCTCGTTTTTTTTAAAAAATTATTCCACGAATTTGTTTTTCTTCTTAATAATGAAAGTGTGATTTATATTTATTCTTCAAATTTTTTGACGCGCTGTCATGTTCCATTTTACTCAGCTTGTCACCACACACACCTCATCTGCCATTGAAATTTGTAGAATTTAAAAAAAATTTACAATTCACATTTTGCATCCAACCTGTGTCAAAACCAACCAACCAACACAGGACTGGCTGCTGACATTATGACATCAATTCCCATGGCGACAGTAACAATGGCATCATCAACCGCAACGACAACTTTGGTGCTAGCCTCAACCGCGACAGCTACGATGCTACCAATGTCGACACCGGCAATGACTACGTCATCATCCGTAGCATCAACAGTCTCTGAGACCAACAGCATTGGTCTAGCAACAGCAATGACATCAACACGGCTGGGATCAGTAACTGCAGCAACGACTACATCAACATCCCTTGCCAGTCAAGATAGGAATAATGAACACGTCGTCAAAATTATCAAGACCACAACAACGTCGCCATCATCAACGACACCGACGACAATTTTAGGGACATTGCAGCCAACAGCAACAACAACAACACCAATGATCTCAGCAACAACATCAATGACGGCCGCCACAATATCAGCAGTGGCAACTTCAACAGCCTCAAGAGACGAGGAAATGAATAGGAAGAACCATCTGTCCTGGGCCGAACTGGCGAGCAAGAAGAACGAGGATATGGATGTCATGGATACTACCACTACTACCACTTTCGTCGCATACAACAATCTGAGACAGCAGCAACAACATTACAACTCAACAGGCAGCAAACAGGAAGGTGCGCCAATGATCAAACCGTTGACTGCAGCTACCTCACATCCAGTGATGACATCAACGGTGCCAGTAACCACAACAACAATTCAGTCTACTGCTCCTTGCACATTAATGCCAACGTCAACAATGACATCATCAGCAACAACAACAATAGCAGCCAATCAGCAATTTTTATCGACTGTTCATGCAACAGCAGCAGCAGCAACAACAACAACAATGATGATGACGTCAACAACAGCTACAGCAGCAACTTCACATCACGTGACTCCAACGAGACCGGCTGGATATGATCAGCTGTTTGTTGGAAACCTGCCGAATGACATCAGCAAGCAGCAGTTGCATGACTTTTTCAGCAGTTAGTACTTTTTGGTTTCTTTCAGAATTTTCTACCATTTGTTCATTCATTCATTTTATTCATTTATTTGTTCTTTCATTTATTCATTCGTTCATTCTATTCGTTATTGTTTTCCAATTATTTTTCCTCCAGAGTTTGGATCCGTGATTGAAGTGAGGATCAGTAAGAAGACTGTTCATAACCGAGATGTTCCCGTGAGTCAGTCACTCACTCTCTCGTTCATTCATTCATTCATTCATTCATTCATTCATTCATTCATTCATTCATTTATTCATTCATTCATTTATTCATTCATTCATTCATTCATTCCCCTATTTCATCCATTCATCGTTTCATTTTCGTTGTTTGCAGAATTTTGGGTTCGTGACGTTTGAGAGTGCTGACGTGGCGTGGAAGGTCCTCCAATCAAAAGTCGGTCGCGTTTAATTATTTCAGGGCCAGGGTGTATTTAAAAAAAACCCGTCAGCCATTGCAATTTTAACCACACACATGCACCAATGTGCCACTAATTAACCACACATGCACCATTATACCACCTACACACCACCCACATACCATCCATTGATGGCCCACTAGTATGCCACCCACCTACACACCACTCACATGTCATTGATGGCCCACTGATATGCCACCCACCTACACACCACCCACATGCTATTGTTGGCCCACTGATATTCCACCCACCTACACACCACCCACTCATTCACTGCAGCCACTCTACCTGGACAATGGTCATCGCCTGAACGTCGAGGAGAAGCGAAGTGACCAGACGAGATCCGGCGGTAACGGGGGGAGTGCCGGGAAGACCAACCCTCCCATGCAGCAGATGAGGTACTCCCAGCAGCAGTCACCTCCCGGCAAGGAATGGTGGGGTGGTCGCAATAATAAGTCCACCGGTTATTCGAGAGGAGGCGGAGGGGGGTCAGGAGCAGGAGGGGGTGGTGGTGGTCATAGTAAAGGTGGCGGCGGTGTCGGAGGTGGTGGTGGAAGTTACTCGTCGAGCTCGGGTTCAAATGCAGCAAAGTTCAAATCTAGTAGTTAGAGGCTTGAGGAGAAGAAATTGGAAAATTTCAAGAATGAGGATTCTGTTTTTTTTCTGTGTGCGTGCATGTGTGCGTGCTCGGTTTTTGTTTTCATGGCGTGTTTTTTTTGTTGTATTTTTGTTTTAGCATTCCTTATTCCTGTGCCTTTGATTCGATTTATTTTTATTTTTTATGCCATTAATGTTGTTGCTAGTATTTCGGATGTCTTTGTTTTCCTACTAACGTTTTTAGGCCAAATGTTGTTAACTGGTAGCAGTGATAATATACATTTTAATGGTATTTACTCTACAATTAACCGGTTTTATGTCTGTGTATTATACTGTTTTGTTTGTTTCTGTACGTGTATGTATGCGTGCGTGTATGTGTGTGTATATTTTTGTATGCGTGTGTGTGTTTCTGTGTGTGTTTCTGTGTGTGTGTTTGTGTGTGTGTGCGTATTCATACTATTTGATTCTAACTCTTCTAAGAAGTGCATTGTTATTTAAATATTCGTTTGTTAGTTTTTATTAGTATTATCTATATACACATGGTTATATTTGCATTTATTATACAATAAATAATTTGCTCAAAAAACTTGTGATTGTGCTGTGTAATATAATACGCGCGTATTTACTGATTAATACCTTCAAATTAATGTATAAATACTTGAAATACACATAACACACACGCACATAACACACACACATAAATTATACACGCGCACACACATAACACACACACATAGAAATTATACATAATGCAAAAACTCAGCTATCTGATGTTATTTTATCAAACCTTTATTGGTGATACCCGTGTTGTTGTTTACTGGCATTCGATACTAGGATATATTCATTCGTATACATATTAATGTGTGTGTGCGTGCGTGCGTGCATTTGTATGTGTGTGCGTGTGTGTGTGTGGGATAATTTAATTTTCAAGTGAGATTTAACGTGAGATTTATCAGTAATAATAAATAATATTCTTCTATTGACTGGAATTAATTTCTATTTTTATTGAAATGTCTAGAGATGTGTTTGTGTGTGTGCGTGCGTGCGTGTGTGTGTGTAGTTTTATTTTTTTACGTAATAATTAACTGCAAATGGCAATCTTCAAACTTATTTAATCTTATTTAATTGCATATTATCTGAAATAAATGTTTCACTATTGACTAAACAGGACTATGTATTAGCGCTAATAATGTACAAGGGAAATACCTCTGTGAAATTGAAGTTAAGAGGTTCTCGCGTGAAAAAAATGTTCTTCATCCAAGAGAAAGTCATTCATTCATTCATTCATTCATTCTTCCTCTCATCCATTCATTCATTTTTCGTTCATTCATTCATTTTTTCGTTCATTCATTCATTCTTTGTTCATTTGTTATTCGATCTTTCTTTCTTTTTATTCCTTCTTTCCTTCTTGTCACATTATACGTCACTCATGGCTATGTCATATCTGACGCCTGCAAATGGAAATTTATAGCGCTACATGTTTATGGCTACATCAATCAAAATGTGTGGCTTGGTGTTGGAGAATTATTTGGATATGAAAATTAAATATCGAATTCATACGGGGAAGATACCTTCGTATATATTGGAAGTAGGTCTGCCCGGTTGGGCACTACTCGTCGCGTCGAATGGTGGGTTAGCATTCGTCGTTGAGTATTGTGTCAAGTGTGTGCTCGTTTGCGCCGGATTGTTGTCGCTTTCAAGTGATTTGTCTGTACTTCCGGATTCCATCGCCACCTCCCAAGGAGTTTTGAAGGTTTGTTTGGCGTTCTTTATGAGGAAATTTAACCTGTTGACCGGAATCTGACCGTCGTTTTCTTTGTTGATGACCCCGTAGCCGATGTTTGCTGTGCAGTCGTCGTCGCTGTATCTTTTGTTGCTTTGGTGTTTTATGTTGATTTTGGCCATTACGTTTTTTTGTTGTTTGTCTTTTAAGATGTCGTTTGTGCTGTCGTCTGTCTGCTGCTGCTGCTGTTGTTCATCTTCGACCGTCTGATCACCGCCACCAACTGTCCACGATTCAGCTTTGGCTTGTCGTTTCGCAAACAGCTTGCCTCCTTTGCCTTTCATACTTTTTAAGTCGTCTGCCAGACTGAAACATATTTGTGGAGAGACGTTTGTGTGGGTGGTCTTGCGTTGCTGCAACCTCATCAGCTCGATCTCCTCGTTGCTCATCGCGTTCAGACGTTCTTCTGTCGATTCTGTCGGCAGCTTCGGGACCATGACGACCTTTTTGTTGAGATCATCTAAGCTGGATATGACATGTTCTTCACTTTCTTCGTTGTCCGAACTACCTGTCGTGTATTTTGAAGCTCTTTCTTTGGCCTTTAAAAACATTTTGTGACCTTTCGAGTTGAAATTGATCGGTGCCACAACAGAGAGGGCCACCTTTCTCGCCATTTGAACCTGCTCCTCCAGCGTCGGGTATTTGTTGACTGGGTCGTGATAAAATGTCGAGTCGGAAAAGGTTTTTTCTGAAAATGTTATCAAATTGATATTTTTTATTATAAAAAAGGCTAAAGCAGCTTAAGAACTAACTTGATGTGTCTGGAAGGTTGGACGGTTGATCAATGGCTGTGGAGGACTTCTCTCCGAAATTGACTGCCGTCTTCCTTCCTCCATCGTCGACTACTTTGCTGTGGACGCTGCCAACGTAAACCTTCGTCGGCTCGGCAGACTTTTTGATGGGTGGTGGTTGACTCACGAAAGACAAATCCATAGTGGATTTGATAGGTTCAACATTTTCTTGAATCTTTAAAGGTATCGTCATGACTTCATCTTTTGGTGGAACATAACTTTCCGCTAATGTCTGGTTTGCTCTCTGCCTTTCAGCAATTTCGCTTTTCTTGGGTAGAAAATTTGTTGATCTTTTAATCACAGGTTGCTGATTAGTTGGCACTGGATTCGAACCTTTTTTCCTGCAATTACAATAGCTGTTTTATTTTAAAATTAAATCTAAAAAAAAATATTAAACAACCTTTTAACCGAAAGAACAAGTGGCTGACTAGCTGAATCGATAAGATTGAGAGCCTGCGTGCAGTTGAACCCGGCACAACTTCTGTTGTTGACCTCGATGAGGATGTCGTTCTCCTTCAAACCTGATTCACATGCTTTTCCGCCTGGTCGTAACTGAGTTTGGCGTCACCAACATCGTCACAGCATGTTGCTAACATCACAGCATGTTGACAACATCCCAACATGTTGACAACATCACGATATGTTTTTATCATTGATGCTGACTATGTTAATTATTACATTCAATTTCATCATTTGTTAAGTCCGGAAAAGAGCCCTTGCATCAATTTTTAGATTTTGAGAGAGAGAAAGAGAGAAAAAGAGAAAAAGAGGGAAAAAGAAAAGAGAAAGTTACTATACTATAACTCCCACAAGTTAAATTAAAAAACTATGCCAAAGAAATCATTTTAGTAGTAATGTTGCATACATTAAATACAAATTACATACAAATTGCATACTTTTGCATACATTTACACACAAAGTACATATAAATTACATACAAAAGAGGTGCCTTACATATAAATTACATATAGTTGCATACAAATTACACACTTTTACATACAAATCACATACAAACTACATACAAATTAAACACTTTTAAATACAAATCGTATACCTTACATACAAATAATACACTTTCACATACAAATCACATATCTCACATACAAATTACACACTCTCACATACTAATCACATATTTCACATACAAATTACACACTTTTACATACAAACTACAGATTCAACATACAAATTCGATTCTTTTCTTTTTTTAAAAAATACAAACTTTGCTTATTACAAGACTGTTATCCATCAGTTTTTGGACTAGCCTAAATCCATAGGGTGGAGGGGAATCGATAACGACATCTAATGTATCGTATTCAATAGCCGGTCGGTTCTGTGGATGGTACATCTTTTTTTGTATTGTTAGTTTTTTTCTTTTTTTTTCAGTTTTTTTGTTGTAATGTTGTTGTTGCTGCCGCTGTTGTTGTTGTTGCTGTTGTTGTTGCTGTTGTTGTAATGTTGCTGTTGCTGTTGTTGTAATGTTGTTGTTGTTAATGTTGTTGTTGTTGTTGTTGAGGATACAGTTTAGATATCCGATATACAAAAATTGCGGTTTAACTTGAAACAACTAAAAATGTAAACATCGTAATTATTACATTACAACGTTAAACTTGGCCTATTGACTAGATGTTAAACAAAACATACAGTGAAAACAAATAGGATTTGCTGATGTTTTGGATGAAAACAACAAAACATACATACATACATACATACATACATACATACATACATACATACATACATACATACATACATACATACATACATACATACATACATACATACATACATACATACATACATACATACAAAGTTCTGCTTTGAAGCTTGCTTGCTTGCTATAAACTAGTAACAAAAACAACAACAGCTACTGATGCTATTAGTGCAACGATATCTATATAATATCTTTTTCTATAACAAGACTAAGACTGTATGCGTGTATGTATGTATGTTTTTGTGTATGTATATATGTTTGTGTGTATGTGTGTATGTGGGTGTATATTTGTATATACATACTGTGCGCAACTATTTGTATATACAATAGGCATAAGTTTGTTTATATGCATTTAAGCATGTGTTTAATTAAAACTATGAAATTAATTTTGTATACCTAAAGATATTTGTTTTATTACGTTTGTTGTTTGTATAAGTTTGTATATATTGTAATTTTGTATACAACTTTTGTATATGTGATTGTATATTATTAATAATATTTTCACGGACGAAAAATACACACACATTTTGGTATTCAGCGATCCGGCCAAGAGTCTTACAACATTTTGCACGCAAACCACCATCCTCTCCGTACATATGTTACTCAAATTTTTTGCTCCACTACGTGTAGTAAGAATGCAATAAAAATAAGATGGGCACATACACACACACACTCACACACACACACACACACATATATATATACTCACACATACACCTATATATTTACACACATTCACAAATACATACATCTATTTAAACTTACACATATACAAACGTGCATATTATAAACACACAGATACACACACACACAAACAAACACACACACACATACATAATTCATGCTAGGGTTTCAGAAGGGATGATGTATGGAGTTGGTTTATTACCATAAACATGTGATGTTCTTGCTTTTTTCCATATTAATATTTATGCAATTTATTATTATTATTTTGTAGTTGCTATACTAATAATATCATTAATTATTAATTATTTATGTTATTGTTGTTGTTGTTGTTGTTGTTATTGTTGTTATTGTTGTTTTGTTTTTTGCTTTTCTGTTCATGCCGATGAATTAATCAATCAGTCAATATTCGTCTGAGCGCAATTCATTATAACTCACTGCTTGAGATGAATGAGCAAAAGAACGAACGAACGAACGAACGAATGAATGGATGGATGAACGAACGAACAAACGAAAAAACAAATGAATAAATGAATGAATGAATGAACGAATGAATAAAGAAATGAATTAATAAACTGGAAACAAGCAAGGGTAACGTTATGTAGTCACCGTTCTTGGTAAGGATTATTCACACACACTCATACACAAACATTCACACACACATACACACACACACTCACAACAAAACATACATAAACAGTAAATGAACAAAAAAAATGGCACCTTTTCTTTTTCAATTTTCCTCATGACGTCATAAGAACTCTAGTGACGTCAGAAATGACGTAACGATAAGATGTGTCATGGATGGATGGATGGATGGATGGATGGATGGATGGATGGATGGATGGATGGATGGATGAATGGATAGATGGATGGATGGATATATGGATGGATGAATGGATGGATGGAAGAAATAAAGGAAGGAAGGAAGGAGGGAAAGAAAGAAGAAAAGTATACACACGTCATATACAGATGTTCCTATCTAAGTCTCTACAAATTGTCTGTCAACTTTTGTAGTCGTATCTCTGCTATTCTTCTCTCTCTCTCTCTCTCTCTCTTTTCTTCTTTATCCAGTTCCCTCTTCTCTCTCTTTCTTTACTATCTCTTCTTTGCCTGCCGCTGTCTTTTTCAGTGTATCTTTTCGTGAAAGATAACTTATCTCTATATTTTACTCTCATCTTCTATCTCTCTCTCTCTCTCTCCCTATCATTCTCTCTCTCTCTCTCTCTCTCGTTCATTGAAAAAAGAGTTAGAAAAAGAAGTCTTTGCATTTAAATTCATTGGAAATGAACTTGAAAAATTACTCTACCAACGAAGTCATAACATTAAGGAAGTTTAGTGACATCTATCTTTTATTGCGAAATTAAATTTACATCCAATCAATTTGAAATCTCACACATTCGATCATTCGTTCGTTCATTCATTCGTTCATTCATTCATTAATTCATTCGTTCGTTCGTTAATTTTTTTTTCTATCTCTCTTACTTTTTTCTCTTTTTATCTCTTTCTTTCTCTGGTAATTATTTTCTTAATACTTAGTTTTATTATAATGATGAATAATTGTTTACTAACTAATTGACTGTCAGTCTACAAGGGGTATCACCACACCACATCACAGACAGACGCACCACAGACACACTTCACGTGCCACACACACACACACACACACACACACACGCGCGCGCAAACACACACGCAAACACACATTACATTTTTATTTCAAACATTTGAAGTCACCCGAGTAAGGTATGGAATTGCGAATAAAAAATTTTATGTTTCTATCCTATTTTTTCAATCTCTCATTCCCTCATTCTTTCTTACTTCTTTTCCCCTCTCTTTCTCTCTCTTTTTCTCTCTCTTTTTCTCTGTCTTTTCCTCTCTTTTCCACCTTTCGTCTCGTGATTACATGAAATTTAGATGATAATCACGGGTCTGCATCCATTTTATATGGTGATGAATGTATGTTGGATAGTATATCTTTATTTTTTCTCTTTCTCATTCTTTCTTTCCCTCTTCTTCTTTTTCTCTTTCTCTCTCTTTCTCTTTATTTTTCTCCTTCTTTTTCCCTTTCCCATATGGACATATTCATACCTACTTACACACACACACATGCATATATACATACATACATACGTACGAACATACATACATACATATATACATATATACAGACAAACAAACAAACCTACATACATACATACAAACATACATACAAACAAGCATACAAACAAGCAGACATACATGTATACAAGATTGCAAATACAGCACAGCGCGCGTTTTGGGCCTTGACGATAAGACACAGTCGAATTCTTCAACACTATTAGTAATTATTATTTTTGTTTTTTTTTTAATAAACAACAACAATAATAATAATAATAATAATAATAATAACAATAATTTAGAAATGACCTTGGCAAATATGGCATCAACATAGCAAGCAATTATTTTCTTTCGTCTGTTTGCTGTTTCTGGCCTAAAATAATGAGAATAATAATCAATAAATTGAAAAAAAAATAATAATAGTTATTGTTATTATTATTATAAAAAAATATTAATAATAAAATAAAATAAAAACAATACAAATAAAGGATTGCTTTAATTTTTTAATTGTTTGTCATCATTCTATTCATCTGTTTCATAGTGGTAAGTAAGAATTTTTAAAATAATAACAAAGAATATTATTAATAATTTATAAATGTAATGGTAAATTATATTACAATTCGTAACACTAAAAATTGTAAAATAATATTAATATACTCACAAGACACACACACACACACACACACACACACACACACATGTTTCAATGTTTCACACATGTTACTACAATAATTAAATCACGTGTCAGTATATTTTACACATAACTTTTACACATAACTTTTTTGCAAAAGTAATTAAATTTCTTAATTGCTAATTATCATGATTGAGTTATTAATTACTTACCGTCTAAATACTGCTAATTTTATAAGTATATGAATATAATGATGACGATGATGACGATGACGATGATGACGCTAATATAATTTGTGCAAGATTCTTTAGATTATTTTTCCGTGCTCAAGCGAGAAAAGACAACACGCATATGCTTTATCTAATGGCCAATATTTGAGAAGACGATTGTTGCGATGATGATGATGATGACGATGATGGT